CACTAACAGCTGGTGTTCTAGTGTTTTTGTGAAGTACCACCACACTCCCATTGTCAAGGCCAACAATCAGGTTCTCACTTACATCCTGATCATCACTCTGACCTTCTGTTTCTCTGTCCATTGCTCTTCATTGGCTGTCCTAACACAACCACCTGTATCCTGCAGCAGAGCACATTTGTAGTTCTGTTCATGGTGGCTCTCTCCACAGTCTTGGCCAAACTATTACTGTGGTTCTGGCTTTCAAGATAACTGTTCCGGGGTGACTGATAAGGTGGATAATGAAATCAAGAGCTCCTAACTTCATCATTCCTGTTTGCACCATTATCCAACTTGTGTTCTGTGGAATTTGGCTGAGCACCTCTCCTCCATTTATTGAGTCAGATGCTTACTCAATAATAATGGACACATACTTATTATACGCAACAAGGGCTCCACTAATGCCTTCTATTCTTTCCTGGCATACCTCTGTGGATCTTACAGACTACTCCATGTTTTTCTTAATTACATAGAAGTCTTCAAGCCTGTTTAGCACAAATCCAATTGTCAGAGATCATATAGCAATTTGAGATTTTATAATTGTTGGTTCTGTTTACTGATGAAATTGATCTTCATTCTATCCTCTTCTATTGTTTTTACATAGTTCTCTAAATTAGAAAGCCTGTTTTCATAAAAATCCATTCTCTCTCAATCAATATGAAAGACAATATTAATGGGATGTGTATGTATTCTTTACCTCTTCCAAATTGCATAACTTTGCCTTTACAGCATCAAATGTTTTCATATGTATCCATGTGTTTTTGATGACCTTGGTATGTTTCCTGGATTCATCGTGCTTACATTTCATGTATGCTTTTGCTATGAAGAAAGGCACATTTTTAAAATGAATATGATTTTGACATGAAGGAATTACTCTGCCAAAAATACTGCATAATTAGCTGCATACTAGAATAGAATAGACCAATTCGTTTAATTATAACCCAAAGTCAGATATCAGTTAATAAGATATTTACCCAATTACATGAAGCTTCTGTTAAATCTGTAAAGATTGTGAAATGTCCTGCTGTAACCAGTTCTGTAGAATCTGAGCTCTTGTCTATCTTTGACTATAGATATCAAAATGGCTTTTCTACTCACTTACTCACTCACAATTTTTCAATTTTGATAAATGACTCTATATTCTTTATTGTGTAACTCCTGCGTATTTATGAGTACTCATTTCTCCATATTTTATCAGTATTGCTTAAGAGATATGTAATTCTTTGTGAACAACATTTCTGACTCTTCTTATTTCATGTGCAGTGTACATTTGCATAAAATGTAAGACATTATGTGTTGTCTGCCTTGTATCTTTTCGTTTGTCAAGTTTTTTGTAGTTTACAAGCTGTAAACTTTCAAGAATAAGGTAGAAGATAACTTATGTCAATCACTACAGGTAAATTGAAAACAAGCCAGAGTCTATCTTTGTGAATAGGTTCATCAGGGTGACTTTTATAAATACGTTTTCTCATACAATAAGTTGTTATCATGGTTTGCCTTCCCTCATCTCCTCCCAGATCCTCCTTAAAGCCAACCAACCAACTCCCTGACCCCCTTTTCTCTCTCTTTAGGTACCAAACAGGTAAAACTCCCAACCAGAACAAAATAAAACAAACAACAACAAAACTAGGTAAAGTTTGTAGAACACATGGAAAGGTAGGCACACACACACACACACACACACACACACACACACACACACACACATCTTGCCTGCAATATAAGCTAGTGCAACTGTGGCATAGATTTTGAGGGAGTAACCAGTCAACATCTGATTTGACTTTAGGTCCACTCTATGGAAAACACACCTGACACTTTTGTGTGTGTGCCAAAGCCCTGAAAGTAAACGGAACAAGGGAGGAGGGTAAAACCAAATATCACTGTTCTATTAAAAGGCCATAGCAATAAGATGACTCCTAATGACATTCTGGAATAGATCAGTGCCTTCATCAACCACTGTCAGAGAAACTTCCTCCTGCAGCAGATGAGAGCAAATAGAGAGACCCACAGTCAGACATTATGCTGAAAATGATAGACCTGGGAACTCTCAGCCCTGAATGTTATGTCTCCCTCTAATCCCTCCCCTCAGGATGTAGGGATGACTGTGGTAGATGCAGCAGAAAGAGTGTTGGAGGGAGAAGGACTAGAGGACACTAGAAGAACAAGGCCCTCTACATCAACAAGATAGGCACACAAGTGATCTCACAGAGACTGTGACAACATGCACAGGGCCTGCACTTGTCTGTACCTGATGGGGCACAAGTGGATGTGTTCACATTCCTCCATTCCTAACCCAGTAGCTGTTTCCAATTGCTAAGCAATTGCAAATGGAAAGTCTAATTTTTTTCCAAGAGAGTCTCACTAAGGAAACAAAAGCTCCTTCTAAGTATAGGATACAAAACTAACACTAGATTGCCAACAGAAAAGAAACTCAATGGTGTCTTTGGAGCATCCTTGTGTCATAATGTCCTGTCAGACTTTTCATTTTTTCTCTTTTGTATTTTATTATGTATTTTGTATATGTATTATGGCTTCTTTTTTAGTGGTTTTATGAGATTTCTAAGATCATGAAAAAGTGGGTCTCTGTGTCTATATCTGTTTTTTGTGTGCTCTCTTGGGCAATTTTCCTCTTGTGTGGTAGTTTTTCTTTTTTCTTTTTTAAAGATTTATTTTATTATGTATATAGTGTTCTGCCTACATGTATGCCTGCGGGTCAGAAGAGCGTGCCAGATCTCATTACAGATGGCTGTGAGCCACCATGTGGTTACTGGGAATTGAACTCAGGACCTCTGGAAGAGCAGCCAATGCTCTTAACTGCTGAGCCATCTCTCCAGTCCCCAAGGTAGTTTTCTACTATTCTTTTTTTTTTTTTTTTTTTTTTTTTTTTTTTTTTTTTTTTTTTTCCGAGACAGGGTTTCTCTGTGTAGCTTTGCTCCTTTCCTGGAACTCACTTTGGAGACCAGGCTGGCCTCGAACTCACGGAGATCCGCCTGCATTTGCCTCCCGAGTGCTGGGATTAAAGGCGTGCGCCACCACCGCCCGGCGTTTTCTACTATTCTTATGTGCTAGTTTTTGTTTGATATACTGCCATATTATATTATATTATATTATATTATATTATATTATATTATATTATATTATATTATATTATATTATATTATATTATATTATATTATATTATAT